AACTGAAGTTTCCAGAACACCGGCCCTGGTTCTAATGGGGGACTTCAATGACCCTGACATCTGTTGGAAGAGCAACACAGCAGTACACAAACAATCAAGGAAGTTTTTGGAGAATGTTGGAGACAACTTCCTGGTGCAATTACTGGAGGAACCAACCAGGGACCGTTCTCCTCTTCACCTGCTGCTTACAAACAGGGAAGAATTGGTAGGGGAAGTAGAAGTGGGTGGCAACCTGGGAAACCGTGACCATGAGACGGTTGAGTTTAGGATCCTCACAAAAGGAAGAAAGGAGAGCAGCAAAATACAGACTCTGGACTTCAGAAAAGCAGACTTTGACTCCCCTAGGGATCCCTTGGAAGGCTAATATGAGGGGGAAAGGAGTCCAGGAAAGCTGGCTGTATTTTAAAGAAGCCTTATTGCGGGCGCAGGAACAAACCATCCCGATGTGCAGAAAGAACAGCAAATATGGCAGGCGACCAGCTTGGCTTAAAAGTGAAATCTTTGGTGAGCTTAAACACAAAAAGGAAGCTTACAAGAAGTGGAAACTTGGACAGATGACTAGGGAGGAGTATAAAAATATTGCTCGAGCATGCAGGGGTGTAACCAGAACACAACTGGAGTTGCAGTTAGCAAGGGATGTGAACAGTAACAAGAAAGGTTTCTACAGGTATGTTAGCAACAAGAAAAAGGTCAGGGAAAGTGTGGGACCCTTAGTGAATGGGGGAGGCTACCTAGTGACAGATGATGTGGAAAAAGCTGAAGTACTCTATGCTCTTTTTGCCTCGGTCTTCACAGACAAGGGGCAACACAGTATGGGGAGGAGGTGAGCAGCCCTCAGTGATAAAAGAACAGGTTAAAGGCTATTTAGAAAAGGTGAACATGCACAAGTCCATGGGTCCAGATTTAATGCATCCAAAGGTGCTGAGGGAATTGGCTGATGTGATTGCACAGCCATTGGCCATTATCTTTGAAAACTCATGGCGATCGGGCGAGGTCCTGGACAATTGGAAAAGGGCCAATATAGTGCCCATCTTTAATAAAGGGAAGGAGAACCCAGGGAACTACAGACCATTAAGCCTCACCTCAGTCCCTGGAAAAATCATGGAGCAGGTCCTCAAGGATACCATTTTGAAGTACTTCGAGGAGAGGAAGGTAATCAGGAACAGTCAACATGGATTCACCAAGGGCAAGTCATGCCTGACCAACCTGATTGCCTTCTGTGATGAAATAACTGGCTCTGTGGATATGGGGAAAGCAGTGGATGTGATATATCTGGACTTCAGCAAAGCTTTAGATATGGTCTCCCACAGTATTCTTGCCAGCAAATTAAAAAAGTATGGATTGGATGAATGGACTATAAGGTGGATAGAAAGCTGGCTAGATTGTCGGGCTCAGCAGGTAGTGATCAACAGCTCGATGTCCAGTTGGCAGCTGGTATCAAGCGGAGTGCCCCAGAGGTTGGTCCTGGAGCTGGTTTTGTTCAACATCTTCATTCATGATCTGGATGATGGGATGGATTGCACCCTCAGCAAGTTTGCAGATGACACTAAGCTTGGGGGAGAGGTAGATATGCTGGAGGGTAGGGATAGGGTCCAGAGTGACCTAGACAAATTGGAGGATTGGGCCAAAAGAAATCGGATGAGGTTCAACAAGGACAAGTGCAGAGTCCTGCACTTAGGACGGAAGAATCCCATGCACCGCTACAGGCTGGGAACCGACTGGCTAAGCAGCAGTTCTTCAGAAAAGGACTTGGGGATTACAGTGGATGAGAAGCTGGATATGAGTCAGCAGTGTGCCCTTGTTGCCAAGAAGGCTAATGGCATATTGGGCTGCATTAGTAGGAGCACTGCCAGCAGATTGAGGGAAGTGATTATTCCCCACTATTTGGCACTGGTGAGGCCACAAATGGAGTATTGCATCCAGTTTTGGGTCCCCCACTACAGAAAGGATGTGGACCAATTGGAGGGAGTCCAGTGGAGGGCAACAAAAATGATCAGGGGGCTGGGGCCCATGACTTACGAGGAGAGGCTGAGGGAACTGGGCTTGTTTAGTCTGCAGAAGAGAAGAGTGAGGGGGGATTTGATAGCAGCCCTCAGCTACCCGAAGGGGGGTTCCAAAGAGGATGGAGCTCAGGTGTTCTCAGTGGTGGCAGATGAAAGAACAAGAAGCAATAGTCTCAAGTTGCAGTGGAGAAGGTCTAGGTTGGATATTAGGAAAAACTATTTCACTAGGAGGGTGGTGAAGTACTGGAATGGGTTACCTAGGGAGGTGGTGGAATCTCCATCCTTAGAGGTTTTTAAGGCCTGGCTTGACAAAGCCCTGGCTGGGATGATTTAGTTGGTGTTGGTCCTGCTTTGAGCACGGGGTTGGACTAGAAGACCTCCTGAGGTCTCTTCCATTCCTAATCTTCTATAATTATTCCCATTTTACAGAAGGGAAAATTGAGGCAAAGAGAGGGGAAATGACTTGCCTAAGGTCACCCAGCAGGACAGTGAGAGAGCTGAAATAAAACCTCAGTCTCCTGTGTTCCAGTCCAGTGCTCTATCCACGCCAACATTTATTTTGTGTTGCAATGGTGCTAGGAGGTCTCACTGTGCTAGGCACTGTACCTATATAATTAGTGGGAAATAGTCCCTGCCCCACAGAGTTCACAAGGCAGTACAAAGCAAACAAACGGTGAGAAAAATAAAGTTATGATCCCCATTTTACAGATGGGGCACTGAGGCATAGAGAATAAGAGACTTGCCCATTGTCATACTGGAAGTCTAAGGCAGAGCTGAAAAATGAACCCAGATCTCCTGCGTCCCAGTGCACTTGGGGACCACCTGACTGTCCTTCCAAAAACTCATTTAAAATTATCATGACCACCAACCCATATCAAATACATAGCAAAGTTCTTTATGCATCCAAACCCCTGTTTATCTGTATAACTTCCACATCCCCTGACTTAATAAACAATGTTTATGCTGTACTGTATTATGTTGCAGTGTTGTACAATTCTATTGCATGCTGGTCTATTGTCATATTGTACTATTATGTGACATTGTTTTATACAGTTGCATCAGGTTGTATTTATAACAAATTTAAAATACTTCACTGGCACACCACACAACTGTTGCCAATGTGCAAAAAGTGGACAACAGTTACGCAACCGGTATGCTGAAACCAGCGTAGCGTGCTGACCAATATCATCTCTTTGTTGTCTCATATCATCTCTGTGAAAGAAAAGTCTACGGGGAAAATTGTTTCAGGCCATCAAAATGTTTTTTTCAACAAAATTGAAAAGTTTAATCTTCCTTTTATTTTACATGTATATTATTGTATTATACTATATAATACAAAATTTTAAAAATCAATATGAAAAGTTGTTTCAAAAGAAAAAATTGAAATATTTTGTGCTGAAAATATACAAATAGGACATTTCAACATTGTTGGAAAATTTCCCCCTTTATTTCTCCAAAACAAAATTTCAGCAAAATTGATATGATTTTACAAAGCGTTTCTGTTTTAACAAACTGCATTTTCTGACAGTTCCATCCAAGTTTTTATGATCATCTCTAGTCTCAATGTTTCCTTATGTCCCCCTTCTCTGTCTCCATCTGTTGCCTCTTCTCTTATATTATATTATAGATTTCAGAGTAGCAGCCGTGTTAGTCTGTATTCGCAAAAAGAAAAGGAGTACTAGTCGCATCTTAGAGACTAACCAATTTATTTGAGCACAAGCTTTCGTGAGCTACAGCTCACTTTGCACCTTAGAGACTAAGCAATTTATTTGAGCATAAGCTTTCGTGAGCTACGGCTCATGAGCATAAGCTTTCGTGAGCTACGGCTCACTTCATCGGATGAAGTGAGCCGTAGCTCACGAAAGCTTATGCTCAAATAAATTGCTTAGTCTCTAAGGTGCGACTAGTACTCCTTTAAATAATAGCCTTATTTAAGGAAGGGACTGTCTTTTTCTTCTGTTTGTACAGTGCCTAGCACAATGTGATCCAGGTGCATGACTGGGGCTGCTAGGTGTACAGTAGTAAAAATTAATAATAGCAGACAAAACTCTTGTTTCTCTGCCAGGTGCAATATATCAAGTATCTACCCAAAATAAGGGCATTGCAGTGATTGGTATTCCCTGTCTGTGTTTAGCATGACTGTCCTTTTCTGTTCCAGAGGCAGTGCTATATGGCTTAATGGTATCTCTGTCATTCTTGTTTGTGTTCATCATTGTATGTATTATATTTTACTTGGTTGAGGTCAGTGAACAGTGTTGCAATTATCACTGCAGGATACTGCACTCTATAACTGGGGTGGTTCTGCTGTGTTTTTGTTCTAACCATGGTACTACCATACTCTTATGAACTATCCTGTCCTACTGTATCGCTGCACTCCGCCTGTTTTTATTGTACTGTGTGGCCATACGGTATTTTATTACACCCCATTTTCATATTATGACGTGTTGTGCTGTTGTGTTGGATTGCATTGGTCTGTCCTGTTGTTGTGTTCTCCTGCATCTCGTGGTGCTATTGTGTAGCATTACGCTGCCCTGCTGTTCTGTGCCTCGCAGTTTTCGAAATAACCCCAAACTGCTCGCTGTGCTGCTGTGACCCCTTCTCAAGCCACTCCGCCCTGCTGCTTATTGGAAATGCACTTCAGCCACAGACCCTGAGACTGTCCCCAGCCCGGCCACCGCGGCGTCCCGTTCGACATCCACCACCTTGTTTGCCGCCGTCAGGCCCCGCCCCTTTGGGCAGGCGGATCTGCATCGCCTCGCCCAGGAGGGCTGCTTGTATCCAATGGGGAGCCGGGCCTGCCCGTGGGGGCGGAGTCCCGGGGTGGAACTTCGCCTCTCGTGGGTCCCTCCAGGGCAGGAGGGCGGGTGGGTGTTGCAGCTGATTTCATCAACCGTGGGGCTGCGGGCCAGCCGGTGGGTCTGCCTGGGGCAGGGCAGAACAGCCCGGACTTGCTCAGGAGCCCGCACCAGGATCGCTGCGGCTGGGAAGCAGGTAAAATGGGACATGTTTGCCTGGCACCTGATGCCTTTTGGTGCTTGCCTGTCTCATGGGTAGGGCAGCTATTTGCCTATCACCTCTCTGTGTCTGAGCTGCCTCGTCTTGTCCCTGGACTTCCCACCCAGCCTGCCTGAGGTTACTCCGCATCTCTAGATGCTAAACAACCGGGGAATGCCCGGTATGTAGCGGCTGTAATCGAGATGCGGCGCCCTGAATCTACTTGTCCGCCTGGGTTGCGTGTCCAATCCCGGCCCGTGCATTGCTTTCGCTCTGGCTCGGGCTCTCCGGCATGAACAGGTCTGGGGCTGGTTCAGCCTGCGGAGTCGCTGTGCTGTGTACATGCCTGGGCATATCCCAGCGCGCTGGAGCATCCCTCGCCCTTTCCCGTTTGTGCTGCAGGGGATGGAGAGGCTCCAGTGGGCGAGCCTGTCTCTGTCTCAGCTAGAGATCCTTGTAGGGAGAAGAGAAGCGGGCTGCCAGGAAGGATCGGTCTTCTTAATCAGCTTTCCTTGTAAGTTTCCGCGCTCAGAGTCTAGGTTATGATTGTCCGGTACCAAACTGGAAAGCAGGGCCCTCCGTTTCTTCCCGGGAGCGAGGGGGTAACGGATCTGCACTAGCTGTGCAAAGGGTCCGGAGAGGAAGGAAACTGATACTGACACGTGGTGCGCTGGGCAAGTCAGGACTTGCAGGTACAGTCTCCAGCCATAGCTCTGTCTCCCACTCCCCGCGGATGGGGTTTCATCTGCTCGCTTTACAAACGGCCCAGATATTCTGATCCCTGCAAACGCAGACTTTGGAATAAACCCTGGAATACTTTGACTGCGTGCCAAAGAGTCACTGGTAAGTGACACCACTCTGGTCTGCAAGGGCACGCTGCAGGTTTCCACACTTTAACTTAAGCGATTGCGGGGGTGGCATGCCTGATTCTAAAACACAGCAGACACCAAAGTGTTTAGAGCTCTGAGCTGTAGATTTCAAGGCTGAGATTGCAGCCAACGAAAACTATTAGTGAAGATTACAAATTAATAATCTTATTGGTTATTTATTATAAACTACGCTGTTGAGTTTAGGATTGGCACCCGCAAATATTGATGAGTACAAGCCACTTTTTCTATTATCGTAATACTTCATATTAAAGTTTTTAATAAATAATGAGCTAGCAGTTGATCTAGTAGTTGATAATTTCTTTAATTCTTAAAAATGCATTTCCTGAGCACTGTGTGGATAACATTTATGGTATCTCTGGGTGTGCTCTTCATCTGTAAATATTTTAAATTCTTCTGTCTAGCAACTGAAATGTACTAAGCATTTTTATGTACATTTGGAGTAATTCTTAGTAAGTACAGATTAGAAATGGTTTTCTTTGTAAAATTAATTACAAATTAGGCACAATTTTTTTCCTTTGAGCTGAGTATGAATGACAGGTTGTCAGTGGTATTATGTGTTAGACATTAAAGAGGACAAAAGCAAAAAGGAGTAACATGGGGGTACAAAAAATTGTTACAATAATCAAGAAACTGGCCAGTTAATAATGGATAGGTTGAGGAGAAAAACAAACAGACAAAAAAGAAGCCAAGATTTTCAAAAGATACCAGTGATTTTGGGAAGTCAGTTTGAGACACTCTAAAATGGCCTGATTTTTAGAAAATGATTGGTCATCCAAAAATTTGAGGCACTGAAAAATACTCAAACAACCCCCAACACAGACTAGTCACATTTGGCAATCTTGATCCTAGTGTATAAGTATGTATATAAAACATATATTGTATATAAAAATTATACATATTATGGCCATGATCCTGCAAACACTTATGCACAAGACAAACTGTATGTACATGAGCAGTCCCATTGATTTCAAGGTCTCAAGTGTATCCCTTTCTTTCCTGTATTGTTTGTCATCTTAAGTCTCAATCCTGCACTGTGATTTGCTAACATGGCTCTCAGCACTCCTGAGGAATCTCACTGAAGTAAAACAGAACTTCACATGGATGCGGAGTTCTGTATTAATCAGATCCCAGCACATGATTGGGGCTTCGGATTAAATTCTTTTGGGGATGATATAGGTCTTCCTATGTGTTCAAATGGCATTTTGCGTGCTGTGAGCACTACAGGAATGCACATAATAATAATACAATAACTCCTGCATTGGGTATTATTACTGTATTTTAAAGTCTCATTTTATTTGCTGTTAGAACACAGTTGAAAGAAACAAACAGAAGTCTAAAATGACCATTACGACAAGAGTGGGAAATTAAAAAATTGCCATCATGTCAGAGAGATGTAAAATCAGCACTGCACACTCCCCCTTTTGATATTGGGGTGTTTTCTTCTAAAAATAAACAGAAAACAAAACTTTTAGCTTGAAGTATTACAAATTACACACTTACTGGACTTTTTGTGACTCGGAGAAAGTCTACAAGTTCACTGAAAAACATGTTTATTTCCAAACCAGGCTAAAAGATTCAGCCACTTTTTACTTATGACGAGCAATACCTTATTCTGCAGGTAACCATATTAAAATCAGTGGGACTGTTTACAAAGTAAGGTACTATTTGATATGAGTAAAGATAGAAGAATTTGGCTCAGAGTCCTATATATTAAGCAAATATAGTGTCAAGAAATGCTTGCAGAACAAAATGAATAGCATTGAGTGATTGGGGAACAGAAGATATTTGCACTAAAGGCAGGGACTTGACTTAATAGCAGGGGAAAATGCTAGACATGCAGGAATATTTTCCAGGTTAATATTTTGGGATTTTAAAAAATTCTTTTTCTCCTGTTGCTTTTATTTAACATTGTCATTCTTTCTTTTTTAAAGCAACATATAACCCACATGATGGCATTTAATCTGCCTGACCTGTTTTCCACTGCCCAATTCTACCAGCTGCCAACTTCAGATATGCAGTAAGTGTTTTATAGCAATTTTTCCTGTTTTGGTATATTGCAAGTAGTGCTGTATGTTACCAGCAAAGACTAGGCACATCTTCTATGATCCCTTAACTCTAATATGTTGGCCTGATAATCCAGTAATGCTAAACCTGACGCCACTATCCTGGTCCATTGAAATCCCTTTGCCACTTTGAAAATGTAGACAGACGCCTTGAAATCCATTAGGAACAGCAGGAGCCATCTCAAAAGATGGCAAGTGTTTATCAAACAAATATATATTTTCTTCACTGTGTAAAGATTGTAGGTCAGACTAGGTTATAAACCAAAAACAAAATGCACCCTCGAATTTCAGGGATCTTCCGGGAAAGAATTTGAGTTTTGCTGTCAGTTTCTGGATTTTTATTTCAATTCAGTGCTTTGGATATTTATAAATCAAGCATCTACTGGGGGAAAAAAACAACAGTTTTCAGTTGAATATGAGGTCTGACCAATGTTCAAGGAAAGTGCAAGTTAGGTAGGGCCTAATCCAAACACTCCCATTGACTTCAGTGGGCTTTTAATCAGGGCCTCAGTATGCAGTTGTAGATCTATGTATTGCGAGGTGCCAGTCTAGCTTGTTAAGTCCTCCGTGAAATATCCTATCGTCTAGTTAAAAGGCTACGCTGTGAGTGGCCCTTGCATGGGCACACTGTGGCGGAGTGCAAGGGTGAAGCTTCCTCCCCCTTTTTGCAGCTACCTAAGGGCCTCCTATACCAGCAGTCTCTGCAGTCCCTGTACTCTGGGGAGTGCAGGGTCTTGTGCTTCCCCTGGGAAGCATGATGCCATAAGAGAGGGGTATGGCTGGTGCACCTGGGAGTTCATCAGATTCATCCACTGTGGTCACCGAGCCATCCTTGAGAGGTTGTCTCCCGAGATACAGTCTCGCTGATGCTGTCCTGCCCCACCCCTCCCCAGGGCCCTGGCATAAATGCTGCAGTCTAACCCAGTGGGATAAGAATGGTGGAACTGCAGAAAACAGCAAGTTTACCAAAACTATGGTATTCTACATTAATGGTTCAAACCACTTCATTTTACAATAGTTGTAGTGCAGTATTTTGGGTGCGTATTACACATACAAGGGAGTGTTTAAATAGGGGAAAGCTGTTTTCACTGAGATTTTTAACAAATCATGAAATCATTCAATAATTTAACAATTATTATTGTAACAATTTAATAAATTATTGTAACAATTTAATAATTAATTAATAATTTAATTGTTTTATTCACCAAGTTCATAGATTCCCGTTAATGAAGAACAATGACTGTAGGTTGTTTCCCTATAAAATCAGTGAAGAGACTGATACTGTGAGATGTTTAGGTCCCTATCCGGAAAATGAGATCTTATTCTGGCAGTTGCTTTGAGATTCTGTACAGCTTCTGCAGAGATGGGAGAATATCTCATTTTAACCTAATTGGGATCAGATGTTTTAACCACTTACTAGAATCTCAAGTTTCAGAGTAACAGCCGTGTTAGTCTGTATTCGCAAAAAGAAAAGGAGTACTTGTGGCACCTTAGAGACTAACCAATTTATTTGAGCATAAGCTTTCGTGAGCTACAGTTCGCTTCATCGGATGCATACTGTGGAAACTGCAGAAGACGTTATATACACAGAGACCATGAAACAATACCTCCTCCCACCCAAATCTCTAGCACAAATCCAGGTTTTCTCACCCTCTGCCCCCCCCTACCCCCACAAACTCACTCTCCTGCTGGTAATAGCCCAACTTGATTATCATACACATTGTAAGGAGAGTGATCACTTTAGATAAGCTATTACCAGCAGGAGAGTGGGGTGGGAGGAGGTATTTTTTCATGCTTTGTGTGTATATAAAAAGATCTTTTACACTTTCCACAGTATGCATCCGATGAAGTGAGCTGTAGCTCACGAAAGCTTATGCTCAAATAAATTGGTTAGTCTCTAAGGTGCCACAAGTATTCCTTTTCTTTTTTAGAATCTCAAGGTGGCTTTCTATTGAGGGCAGTCATAGAGTTTAAGACCACCAGATCATCTAGTCTGACCTCCTGCATATCGCGGGCCACCAGCACCTCCAAACTAAATCCAGCAATCAGAACTAGACCCAAGCATTGTAGCCCATAGGAGACTATACTATTATGTGTCATAAGCAGAGAATAGGAGGCACTGAGGTGCACTGTACCCGAGGCCCCCACAATGACAATGCTGTGTGAGCTTGTTTTGTTTATGTAAATTTCACTTACAAATTAGACTTCACAAGTAAATTGATGGCCTTGGTTTTGGTATTATACGAGAAAATTTTAAAAATTCCACTGCTGTAACCCACACCAGAAATTCAATAAAGCTTTCAATGGCCAGGTATTGCTAAACAGGAGTGAGGACCATGGAACCATAGATACAAAGGATAGAAAAGATTATGAAGGATAAAACTATATTTGGGAGGCCTACTCCCTACATCATTCCTATTATTGTCTCACCTTGCCTGTTCTTTTTTATTACTATTTATTTTTTGTACTAGGGTGTCACCTGGGGTCCCCCACCAAGATCAGGTCCCCATTGTTCTTAAGACACCCTAGTGAATGGTGCCTTTCCACTTCACTTGGGAATTTGCTCTTATTCCATTTGTTTTTATTCATAGATATGGGCCCAAATCAAAGCCTCCATTCCAAACTCCATATCTGAATGTTTTACCTCTATAATGAGCAGACGCAAAACCATGGATCTAAACAGTGCTGAACTTGGGGCTTCAAACACTGAACTTATCCAAAGTTCAAGGTGTTTGGAGTCAGCCTATTATGGAGACAAATTTCAGATATGAACTTGGATTCAAATCTGTGATTGGTTCATATTTGGGATGATGGTTCAGGCTCATTTCTATTTTTTTCTAATGGAAATAGGCCCTAACTAGACATTAATATTGAGCCTAAACATTTCCTCCTTTAGCTTCAGCCCATAGCTCCCTGACCACCATCTTCTGAGACTATGACAAACTCTATTTACTCTATCGTGTCAGTAATCTTGAAGCTATTTATGGACTGTGATCTCATCCCTTCTGCGATCTTTGCTTTACTGGGCTAGATAAATTTAGTGCCCTTAATTTTGCTCAGGGTATGTGAGTTGATAGTAATAACTAATATCTTGCTTTCTGTGCTTATCCAGTGGAGACGCCACATGAGATGAGTCCTGATTGTTTGGATAGTGGGAAAAGCCTGGCCAATAGCCCACTTCCAAAGTGCAGCCTACTTTGCATAGGGCTCATGAGGGTGGTAGGAGATCAGACCTGAGCGGGCTGAAAAGGCATAACAAGGAACATTTACTGAGGGGCCCTTTTCATTTTGTTTGTGACAAAATGAAATTTACAGTTTCAAATGGTGGCATAGATAGAAATGGGTTATGACTGGGGCAGGAAGAGAAGTGGAGAGGGCTCATATATCTACTGTTGTAACATCATTCTTTCCAGTATGTTACTAGGCCCTACTATGTGAACATTAGCCAGGCTGTCCTTTGACTTGCTCCTAATGAGGCCTGTGGCTGGACTGACAAAAACTTGCGCTCCATCCATTTTTGAATTGTTTCAAGTTAGAACAGTAGCTTCCTTTGAAAGCATGTTTCTCAAGCCCTTTGTACTCTTCTTTAATGTTTAGATTCCAATGAGCTGACCTCATGAGGCAGACACGGCGTTATTAATTCCTTTCCTCATTTGGTGCATGAGGTTATGAGAGAAGTGACATGAAGAGAGGCCCAGTGCTGGTTTTTACCCTATTTCTTGTCACCGAGGTAGGAACCCACTTGAAACAAATGAACCAAAAACTCTGCCTAATGTGTTTTAATAGCTTCAGTTTGATTTCTGTTGAATTCTCTCTATGTGCTCTGCTCTCTCTGGTCTGTATTATTTGCATGGTCCAAATTCCAAATGAGTTCGGGGGGGGGGGGCTGAAATCCAGGCCTGCTGAACTCAATAGGAGTTTTGCCAGTGACTTCAGTGGGGCCAGGATTTCACCAAGGAATGCATGACCAGGCTGTAAGTCTGTAGGCTAGCCTTACCTAGTGCCTTTGACTAGTTCTGTTCAGTTTGAAGCAGAGGATTCGAATCAGTTTTGTGTCTTGTGCTGAGTTCTGGCCATGAATTCCATTCGTTGCATTAAAATCTTGGGTGGCAGTATGGTGCCCAGTAATATAAAGTGTGGCTTTAGTTCTTCAGAGAACTGATAGTTATCCCTTGCTATGTTCTGTGCCCCATATTACGTATCCCCAGATTCCTTCTGCCCCACTGACCCAAGACTGTGTAGTTAACTTATCTTCTCTTGCACTGTTTTCATGCCAAATCACATGAACATGAGCTCCTCTGAGTGGAGGTATTTGCCTCTCGCCAGCTCTATACCAACTAAGGCTCTGGATTGAACATCTGCTTTGTGTGCTCCATCCAGTTTGGTGCTCTCTGCAGATCTGGATACCACATTGGTGGTACTTTCCACTGCTCCATTTACGCAGATCTTTGTGATGCTTGTAAGTTAGGAATAGTCCGACTGTTTAGCAGACCAGGATAACAAGTTATTTGGTCTGGACTATGTACTGACCTCCCATGAGGGAAGCTGCTGACCTGAACTTAAAAAAGAGTGTCCAACATGAGTTTGGAAATAAAAACTGACAGCACCTCACTTCACTTTTAAGTGCCACCAAATGGACAGTTCAGCTGCATGACCTACTTACTTAAGTCCCTCCTCTGTCTCTGCTTAGCCAGTTGCACCTCATACTGCTCTTTGGGAAGAAGGCACATGGCTTTGCTCTTGCCAAAGTCAGGTTTTCCTGGTGCAACACAAGCATCTACTAAAGCAGTGATGGGCAGCCCGCGGGGCTGCATGCGGCCTATCAGGGTAATCCGCTGGCAGGCCACAAGGCAGTTTGTTTACATTGACCGTCCACAGGCACAGCTGCCCACAGCTCCCAGTGGCCACAGTGTGCAAAGAATGCAGGCAAATGTTCCTTCCAATGAGAAAGCTTTGCCCAGTAAACAACATGCTTGGTTCACCTCAGGAGTGTTCTGGGACTTGTAGTAACCCCAGTTGTTTCTCCAGGTCCGAGGTGCTGCTCCAAACCCAATGGAATGCCAGGAGAGTGAGTATCTGGATGAGCACAGGAAGTGTGTTCCTTGCAGAGAGTGTGGCCCTGGATGGGAGCTTTCCAAGGTAATTTGGCTGCTCTGAGATGAACCTGGATTGTTGGCACTGGTGGTACTAGATGAATCCTCTGCTAGCCTTTACTAGAAGGATAGAGTTAGAGCTTTCTCTGATATGGGCGCCTGTGCCTTTAAAAAGAACAGAGCTTCATTTGCATGGGAGGTTAGACTATTCCACTGATCATAAGTGATGCAGGGATAGGGATAGGAGGATGGGAAGATGGAAGTACCATAAGTAAGGAGAGGTTTCAAATTGGTGCATCTTATTACGTAAACACCAAGGAGAGTCCATCCTCTCCAGCTCCCAGGGGAAGTCAAAAATCCCTCTGGTGGATAACTCCAGTGTTCTGGTCAGAGCTAGACAATGTCTCATAGACTTATAGACTTTTAGGTCAGAAGGGACCATCGTGATCATCTAGTCTGACCTCCTGCACATTGCAGGTCACAGAACCTCACCCACTCTTGAAATAAACCCTTAACCTCTGTCCTTGTGTGGGTCACTGGCAGCAGGTTTCCACCTGGGATCTCTGGCTCTATAAATGAGCGTCTATGCCTAAGCTAAGAGACCTAGCTCTGTTCACCAAGACTATAGACTCCTCAATCTCTATATATGATCCAGTCACCACTAGAAGGGGACAGAACGCCATACTGAATGGGTGTGATTTACACACTCCATTGAGGTTAGTGAGCTTGTATAGCCTTGACTAACTCAGGCTAATACTGTTTGATTCCAGCTGCCAGCAAACCCTCTCCTCCCCCCGAGGGCACAGCATTACACCAGCATCTCCCTCGCAATAAAACAAGTTTTAGTGATTGAGGCAATGTGTGAGCTATTGCTGAGTGCAGAATGGCTGCCCCATTTGTTTGCACAGGCACAGCACTGCTGCTGTCTGCTTCAGTGCAGTCCAAAGATGTGAGTTGCCCAGAGTGTGAAAGGCAACGGAGAACTCTCTCACTGAAGAGAAGCCATCTGCCTCTAGAGAATAGGACAGCTTCTTCCCTCCGTGGTATCTTCGGATCTGATGCCGTTTCTTTGTCTCAGACATGGCCCTGCGCTTGTCTCTTGCAGGAGTGTGGCTATGGTGAAGGAAGGGATGCACAGTGCACTGCTTGCCCTCCCAGGAGGTTTAAGGACAGCTGGGGGTTCCATGGTTGCAAACCTTGTCTTTCCTGCCCCCTCATCAACCGTGTCCAGAAATCCAACTGCACTGCCACTTCCAATGCAGCCTGTGGGGAATGTCTGCCAGGGTGAGTACAGCTGGCAGCTGGAACACCAGCAGCAGATGCTCTTGGGAGGGCATAGGGAGGTGCTGTTCAAAAAGATGAGATATACCAGGATCTGCAACCTTTGGCACGTGGCCCTCTAGGTTAAGCCCCCTGGCAGGCCGGGACGGTTTGTTTACCTGCCGCGTCCGCAGGTTCGGCCACTCGCAGCTCCCACTGGCCGCGGTTCGCTGCTCCAGGCCAATGGGAGCTGCGGGAAGCAGCGTGGGCTGAGGGATGTGCTGGCCGCGGCTTTCTGCAGCCCCCATTGGCCTGGAGTGGTGAACCTGTGGGAGTGGGAGCTGCGATCGGCCAAACCTGCGGATGCGGCAGGTGAACAAACCGGCCCAGCGCGCCAGGGGGCTTACTGATCAGGGTTGCCGATCCCTGATATATACAATTCTCTTATACCTTGTCCTGTTGTTAGAGCATTCTCCACTTTCTCTTTGGCAGGTTTTACAGTAAAACCCGGATTGGCGGGCTGCAGGATCTGGAATGCATCCCATGCACAAAGCAGACGCCTTCCTCTGAGCCTCAGTGTACGTAGCCCGCAGCACTGCAACCTGCTGTCTTTCGCTGTGTAACATGTCATTCCACAGGGCACGGGGTGAGCCCTGCAGGATTAACAGGAGATGGGAGGAGTGGTGGAGTGGAGCGGGGCAGTGGTGCATGTAATTCAGTATCACCTGTCTCCGACAGTGGCCACTGTTACACGCTTCAAATGAAGGCATAACCCCCCACGGTATAACTAAGGGTAGGTCTGCACTTAAAACGCTGAATTGGCATAGTTGTGCTGCTGTAGCGCTTTAATGAGGACGCTCTAAGCCGACGGGAGAGAACAACTCTCCTGGTGGTTTAGTTAATCCACCTCCGCGAGAGGCGTTAGCTTCATTGGCGGGAGAAGCTCTCCCACCAACATAGCACTGTCTACCCCAGCGCTTAGGTCAGTATAATTACATCACTCGGGATGTGGATTCTTTATGCCCTTGACTGAAGTAGTTATAGCAAAGTAATTCTGTAGTGTAAACTTGCCCTAAGTGTGCAAAAGAAAATTCCCTCCTGACCCCTGCTGCCGATCATCTTTTGCCCTGAAACATGAAGGTTGAGGCTTTTTGTTGTTTCTGTCCTCATGAGTGTCCTTGCAGAGGCTGTGCTTATTCATTTAAATGACTAGTCCTTGTTTTGAAGTTTATTACGCTAGCTGTAGCAGAAGAATTCTGCCCCAGTGCGATCTGACCAAGGAAATACTGACAGTGTATGTATGGAGGGGAGGGGCAGCTGGGGCCAGCAGTGCAATGGTAAACGTGAGTATCTGTGTGGTCAGACTCAGCAGCTCAGCCATTCTCTATCCTGTAATGGTTTGTTATTTCTGTTGTTAAAAATCAAGGAAAATCATCCCCTTCACTTTGCCGTCGTTCTGCAGCCGGGAGATAATTTTAGCTGTTGTTTCTCAGTCCTCCTGGGTCCAGTTGGTGGTTCTGCCACTGAGTCACACTGGCTGTGAACAAGTCACTTAAACTGCTTGTGTCTCAGTTTCTCCATCTGTAAACTGGAGCTAAAAATACTGTGCTACTGGATGGCACTGGATTATTATATTCAATTTTCAAAAGCACCTAAGGGGTTTAGAAGCCTAATTCACACTGACAGTCAAAGAAAGTTAATGGACTTAGATTCCTAAGAGTAACAGGAGGTGGGAGGAATGGTGGAGTGGAGCAAGCCAGTGGTGCATGTAATTCAATATCCCCTATCTCTGACAGAGATTCCTAAGTCACTCTTAAGTGGTCAAAGTCCATTAACTTTCTTTGACTGTCAGTGGGAATTAGGCTCCTAAACCCCTTAGGTGCTTTTAACTTCCAGGTTGAGACCTCTTGTCCTAAGGGATTAATATCCTTGTAACTGGTCATGTACTAATCACTCCAGGCTGGATCTGTGCTGCACTGGTCCTGTCTGCTTTCTTTTCTGTAGCATCCTGCAGCTCACCATGTGGTGATGATGGGACTCTGACCTCTGTCTTTGGCTGGTATGTTTGCAGGCAGCTCCAGGTCTAGCCTGGTGAAGGCAGCGATTCCCACAGTACCTCCCCAGGACACTGCCCTCCTAGTGCTAACCAGCAGTGCGCTAGTCATCATTGCGTTGGTGCTGCTGGCACTCGCCATCATCTGCTGCAAGCGCTTCTGGAAGAGCCAGTGTCAGCGAGGTGAGTAAATGCAAAGCAGCATCCCTCTGGTCCTCCTTGCCCTGCCCCCTCTTCCCTAGAAATAGCAGGGAAGAGGAGGAGGAGGATGTAAGGGCTCAGATTCCAACAGCGTTCCAGGTGGGGCCAGCAAGGTTGTCACTTGCGAGGTTAGTGCTTTCTCTTCTCGGGTTTTCCCAGGCTGGGTCAAGACTGAGGAGATTTTGGCAGTTGTGGAGGTGAGGGGGCCAGGGCTAGAGCAGCAGAGGCTGAAACAATTAAGAGGATGAGGGAAACAGCAAGGAGGAGTAGGTTAGAGAGATACGATTGAGGGGCATTGGCACAGCTGCATGGGGAACAGTGCACAGCACTAGCCCTCTCCATGCCAGGAAGCGAGGCCTGATTGCTCCTAAATTTTACAGTCACCAAATAGATAGCCGTACCAGATGGCCGAGTGCATTCTGGTAAAACAAGTCAGGTCTTTGCTGATATCAGTTGCTCTTTATCCTTTAAAGTGTTTCTGAGGACCCAGAGTTTCTCGGCCCAGAGGGTGATGTTCTGGGCCTCAGCCATGCCAAGCAGGTTTCCCTGTGAGGAACAGATGTCTAGTCCCTGCTGCTTGGGTGTGAAGAACCTGAGCCCATGCTCCAGGCAAGCAGAAGGTAACGTCTCTCATTGCTCTGCTGCTTTAGCTTGGGTCTGGGGGGAAGGGCAGGCTGGGCTGTGACCCTCACATCATAATATCTGTTCAGTTTCCATTCCTCAGACAGGAAGGAGCACCCCATTGGCGGGCTGTCAAAATCTCTGCTGCCATGAGGCTTACTGCCAGGGTCAGCCCCTGTGGTCAGACACTGGAATAATCAAGGTGGACAGAGCCCAGTGCCACTAGGAATCTTCCTCAGGGTGAAAGGTGGAAGCCTGGGGAGGATTCTGAACTCAGAAGACGTTGCACTGGCTTTGGGAAGATGTAGGTTTCACTCCTCCAGCTTCAGTGTCTTTCTCTCCTAGGGATGTGTGGGTTCTGGAGGAGAGAGTGCTTGACTGTTGCAGTGGGAGTGACCCTGGAGGGCTGGTGATCGACCCCTGGAAGAGCGGGGAGCCTTGCTTTGTTCAGCAGTGCTCACTACCACCTCGCAGACAAAAGGCACTGAGTAGTCCTGTCCTGTCTGTTCCTCTGCAGCTGGAGACAGGCATTGGCAGTGCAGTGCCCCGGGGGAAATGGGGTTTTTAAGGAGTGGTTGACTGGAGGGAGGCCAAGCCCCGGCAGGTGGAGAGGCTGGTGGAAGGGAAACCAACATACTTTTAAGCCATGGGTTTTCTGGTTCCAGGTCCCGTTGAACCGGTTCAGTTCATTTCGGATGGTGAAGCCATAGGCCTGCAGATCCCTGCTCTCCAGCCCAATGCGGAAGCGATTGCCATCAGCCCCAATCCCAAATCCCAGCTGGCGAGGAGCGTCTTGGAGACCCAACCCCTGATAAGGAACTCAGGGTTCAGCGACTATTCTGCGGGGGTCTCGTCATCCTCTGATGCCAGGCAGGGCCCAGCTGGGTTCACAGAGGCCCTGACTCCCCTCTCATCATGTGCTTCAGAGATGCAACCCAGGTGGCCCCATGCCCCAGTGGAGTGCACGGAGCTAGACCTGCAGAAGTTCTCCACCCAGGCTGAGTTTACGGGTACCAAAAACCAGGAGGATGCAGAGAAGCAGGTGGCTCAGAGGGTCCGGAGACATACAGAGGAACTAACCCTTGAAGTGCCCCTGTTTGGTGCCCCTCTGATAACACAAAGTGAACTTGATCTGGACCCTGCCAGGGGGTCATCCTCATCCTTCCAAATTCCCACTGCTGAAAGCAGGGAGCAGCCTGTAAGTTTTTCCCATCTTGTCCCCCTCTGTATAATAACAGCTACTACGGGGCTCACACAGGGAGGGACGGGATATTGGAGGGGCTGGGGGTACAAAACGTTTCACCTCTGAGCAGGTTCAGATCTAGCACTGGCTGGTAGTGACCGTCCAAAAGTCATAACCATCTGCCGTTCAGTGAACTGTGTGGTATGAGTTTGGGAAGGGACACCGCCCAGTTCCCATTGGCCAGGGTAGCACGTAACACTTCCACCATTAAACTAACTGGTGTTGAGAGCCCAAGGGAAGTCGCCAGTTGTGGTGCTTTTTCTGTTTGCAAGGAACTGGTCTAAGACCCACCAACTTATCTAAGGGCCACCAAAGAGCTATCAGATGGTAGCAAAACTCAGTCACTACCAACCTGGGCTGGGTTCAGATACTCAGCCTGGCAAAAGGGCAAAGTTCAAGCATATCCTTAACTCAGCAGGAACTGTGCACTTCACCTGATCCTTGCATCACCCACGGATCATCTTTGCATGTTTGCCAGTATGGAAAACTGACCTAGTGGTGAACAACTCAGCTTCCCAGTCCCCTGAGCCATCTGGTCTCCTCACCAGTTTGTGACGGATTAGTGATTAACATAAGTCTAAAAAATGTCTAGCAGGTAATTAAGTTACTAGTTTAGGTTCAAGTACTTCTTTATTGAGATGATGGTTTGCTGGAAGAACTTAGAGCATCTTAATAGGGTTGCTGTCCTAATTGAGTGGTGATGTTCTGAATAGAAATATCCAGGCCATTACTAATACATGGTAGGTCCTGTGAGTGGAGCACTGACAAGATCCACATGTGATTGTTGCTCATTCTCTGATGAATCTCCCCAATCCTTGGGGTCTTTGTCTTAGCAGGTGAATGATGTCCTGAGCCTTGTGAGTGAGATTAGCAGAGCCACACAAGGTGAGTGGATGTCTGGGCAGCATTTTTCAGTCACGCCCTTGCTCCCCTGGGGTTCAGGTGGAGGCAGACCATGGGGTGAGGAGCACCTGCAGAGCCCCAGCCTGGCCAGTGTCGCACTGACTGTCGACATAGAGATCTGTGGCTGACCCTCTTTCATGGGGCCTGTGGCATTAATGCGGGGAATAGACAAGCCCTTCTGTGATACACTTTGGAATGTGGGTGGGTTGGGGGACAGGCACATAGTTTATCTCTATTAACAGTGAGGATCGTAGGCTCTGACTCCGTGGGTGCTGAGGGGCTGGAGCACCCATAGGGGAAAAAATGGTGAGTGCTGAGCACCCACTGGCAGCCTCCTATCAGCTCCCCCACCCCAACACCTTCCGCCCGCCGATCAGCACCTCCCGCCGCATGCAGGGAGGCTGGGAGGGAGGGGGAGGAGCGGGGACGCGGTGCACTCGGGGGACAGGGCAGAACTGCATGGGAAGAGGCTGGGCAGGGGTGGAGTGGAGGCAAGAAGAAGCGGAGTGGGGGTGGGGCTTTGGGGGAAGGGGTGGATTGGGGGCTGGGCTTGGGGCAGAGCCGGGGATCAAGCACCCCCTGGCAGTTTGAAAAGTCGGTGCTTGTGGTGAGGATTAAGCTCCCCTGGGGCTGAGAGGCAGGTTCCATGCGGCTAAGCTCTGAAAGGATATGCATTGGTGCCCTGTGGCAAAAGTTCCCTCTGTGGTGAGGCCAGGCAGAAGGGGGTGTTGCAGCTGCCCATCAGATGGGTGGGACAGGGGCCGTGGTATGGGCCTCACTGCCTTATTTTCAGGACACCCCTCCCTCGCTGAGTAGACAGGCTCTCACCTCACTTTTCTGCCATCCCCAGGTCTCCCCATAGCACAGCTCCCCCACTCCTTGGTGCTGTCACTCGGCTTCCAGTTGGACCCTTGCTTGTCTGGTCTCAAGAATTTCAGCCACGTGGGGGTGGAGCTGGGGGTCCCATCCCATCTGGTGAGCAGGATGTCTGGATTCAAGCAGCTCGTTGCTCACCTCGCCTCCTCAGGAGACACAGTCACTGTTCCCGCCCTGGCCCGGGTCCTACAGCGACTCCAGCGCTTCGACGCCTTGCTCCTACTCTGTGATCATTTCATTATGAGCCAGGCCCAGGGCTGCGAACACTAGGGGAAACCCACGTTGCTGCCTCCGCACACAGAGGGAGGGGCAACTCCAGGCATCATTTTGGCTGGGTGAATCTGGCAGCGATGCTGCTGCCTGGTTTCCTACCCACTCTTTGTGGGCTGTGTGGGGGTTGCCTTTGAATCCTTGGGGTAGAATCACAGTAGAATGATGAGTCTGTGAGTGCTCACTCAGCAAACTTCTCTCTCTTGACCACTGCTTGAGACCTACCTTGTGCTGGTGATAGCTGGCAGCTGCACGTGGTACCTCCAAATGCCACATTTCTTCATACGTGTTTATATTGATGCCCAGAAACGTGGCCCTCATGGTCACCATGCATGGTTACAGGGCCATTTGCCTCCATGGGCAGGTGTGGATTTATAATGGGCCCTTCAAGCACACAGTGTTTCCTTGAATCACATCTCAGCTGTAATGATTGAACTCTTTGAGTGAGGGGCTGGATGGTGGTGTGTGAAAATATCCCCCAACTCTAAGATGGAGCTCAGAGGGTCTGGACCCTCTGTGTTGGATTTCTCCCCTGCAGCTGATTGTATCTTCCTCTTAGAGACCTGATAATCATTTGTTCTTCCCCCCCACTTTTTAGATGTGGGCCTTCTCCATTTGGCAGACATTGTATTTTGCTGGCTTTCTGCTCAGCTTTCTGCTGTGGCTGCCTTTTTGTTTACTTCTCCTTTTGTGCATCGACCAGGGGACCTGTTCTTGGAGAAGGGTTGTTTAGCTACCACTCCTTTCTTTTTTTTTTGTTTTTTTTTTGGCCGGGGAGGAGGGACTCATGTGCTGAATTTCTGTGTGCCATACCAAAATAGCAGTGTGTTTAATTGTATTTCCTGGCTGTGGAATAGTACCGTTTTCGTTAAGCGATATTTCTAATTGTGGGTCAGGATTTTTTTAAGCATGGTGGAGTTTGCTCCAGTGCAGATGGCAGGGTACTTGCTGCATTCCCCAGTCTTCTGCAAAGCACTTCAGCTCCCTTGCCCTAAGGGGCTTGCTAACGGGCTCCTCTGTGCTGATGTTTGGAGGACAGCACAGCACATATTCGACTCTTCTGCACATCTGAAGTTTTCAGAACACGTGACACAAACAAAACCCTTGTGGGAATTTGGATGTGTAATCCAGAGTCAGGGTCTCCCCTCCATTGCCCCTCCTGTGAGCACCACAGGGTCTCATCTTCTAAACACTAAATGGAGACCACTTGGCCTGGATGGCACCCCTTTGAAGTGCAGATTGGAAGGATGGCTTGGCTTTCAGCTCATCCGGTGCCCAATTCTCTTGCTGTAGGATGCAGGCCATTGCCATTGGCTTTTGTGGGAGATGCTCCTATTCTATGGTGGGAAAACAGAGCCTGTGGGGTTTAGTATGTTATGTAGCTACAAGAAAATCAACTCAGTATAATAATGAAGGGTGTCTGAATGGCACAACCACTCTATTCCTTTGCCCTAGTTAATTAAAAACTAAAAGGATGGAACCCCTCAAGAACTAACTATGCCAAGTTCATAATGGGAAATGCTGGATGAAACACCATGGAGTATTCTCAGAAGTATTTTCTCACTGCTAGTGTAATGTACTGCCATGTGCATAACGCCCCCTACTGGAATTAATCAGACCTTTGGGTGGTCAGGTTCTGATTATTAGCCTGTGCAGGGAGGCTAAATACTACTCCCAGGGTTGCCATTTGCCTGCAAGAGGCTTCTATTGGAAGAGCAGGAAAGTATGACTTCTCATCCCAGTGCCATGTGTATTTGATTTAGCTGAATGACTCTGGTGTCCAGAGGTTTGTTTCCTGGCCATGTTATGCTGCCTGTTAAAGTAATCATGCCATTAGTGGCGAAGCGGCCTTATTTTAACATAATGTGTTGTTCAGACTAAAGATGACCTCATTTTCTGGTTTCTGAGAATGGCTGTTCCATAGGGACACACTCTTCTGACTTTAATTTTCTCTAGGAGGATTTGTCAGAGCTTGCCATGGTTTGGCTGTGTTAGACTTCCTGAAGTTCCTGGAACTGGTATCTGGAGGCAGCTTCCAAGGTTGGTGGCTGCAGGTTCTTGTGCTATTTTCTCAAAGCTGCCACCAGCTTCTCTTGTTACTGTGCATTAAGTAGGAGCAGGTTACACTTTGAACTGCTATCTGACAAATTGGATTGGTGGGAGGAAGTTGTAGAATATGAAACAATCCAAGTCTCCTGTAAGGCTGGAGAAATCCTGCCACATGACACACCCCACACCTCCCGGAGAGAGGATAGGAATCCAGCCCTGGTGATCAGCTGCGATAGTCTGTTTTGTGGTTGCAGAACACACCCACGGTCCATTCATGAGAGGACCCTAGCACTCAGGGCATGTGACATACTCTGTTATATTGATGTGTTTTTCAGCCCTGGCACTCAGCTGTGATGGATTCCTTTCATAGTGAGGTCATTTTCACAGAGCAGCTGCTTCAGAAGGAGAGGCGTTGCTGGGAGCCTGATTGCAATCAGCACTTTGCCATGAATTCAGACAGATGCGGGTTTTCATTCGGATTCCATAAAACACATTGTTTCACTGTGGTTCACTCTAGGTGGGATTGAGTGTGGCTCTGTCAAGTGGCAGATGACATAGGCTCCCTAGAACACCATCTTCAGGTGGATCTTTACTTCATTGGTGACACAACCTTGACACCTAGTGGATGGGGAAGGAGGTGCCTTTCTAATAATCTCTCCTGGGTTCTTGCCCAGTGTGTGGAGCTGGCTGTTTCAAACAAGAATGGAGAAGAATGTGGCTAGCTCCACATTGCACAGGGTGATGGTGTTGGGCTGCATGACATTTCCCATGTGTGCTGTATTTTGCTGCACCTCAACACGTGGGGATTGCTTTTTTTAGTGAAGGCTTGAGACCGATATCTGGGGCTGGCGTTGGAGTTACCCCATTTAGTCTGTTTCATCCTGCTACACCCTTGAGGGTTCAAGTCCAATGCAGAGTTAACCTCATGAGCTCTGGGATATACTCAGAGTTTCACTGATGCTAGGGTCCCTAGAACAATACTGGGTGGTGAGGAGGGAGTTTTGCTGAGCATACATAGCGCTGCCAAAGTGCATAGGCATAGGGTGCAAAATATCAGACCATCTGCATCCAGTTAGCATTGTGGGCACTGTTCATCTTCCCAAGAGCTTTGGGAAAAATGAGCTGGACTGTCCCTGATTAAACCCTTCACCTTATCCCAGCTAAGAACCATAAGCTGTTGACAGTGCTGTGCTGTCTTAATTTCATTCACATTGCCTGAGCATCAGTGGAGTGCCGGGGACCACACTGGTACATTTGAGAACACCGTGTTCCGGGTATGTTTTGCAGAAGTTGAGGGGCTAGAGAGCAGAAAGGGTGGTGGTTTTCCCTGTGTTTAGTAAACAACTCTCCAGAGCGAAAAACATATTGCTTATGACAGTCACCAAGGGTGCTTGGCAGCCATCAAGCTATAAAGGGACAAAGCAGAAGGATGGTCTTGTGGATAAAGCATAACACGAAGTCAGGAGATTTGCACATAGCTATGCCACACATGTTGAATGTGTCTGGGAGGTCACTTCACCTCTCCATTCCTGTTTCCCCACTTCTAATGTAGGGACAATAATACTCTCCTCCCTCGCAGATCTGTTGTGAGGGCTACTCCATTAATGTTTACAGCCTCCTTTGGAACCCTCAGACGGGAGGCAAATGAGAATGACAGGGCTGTTCTAGTAGGATAAAGCCTGGTCCCATTAAAGCCAGAGGCAAAACAATCATTAACTGCAGTGGGATCAGGATTTGGCCTGTGGTACATGGTTCCTCCCTTTCCTAGCCTGTGTCTCAGGCTCCCCTCTTCTCCCTTTATTTCTGTGCATTTTCCTGCCTTTTTCCTGCCCTCTTTCCCCTAAGTTACATTTTCAGACTATTTACAGTCCAAGAAGTGTGCACTGTTCTGCACTTTTCTGATATCAGCTGTGTATCCCAGCCTCGGACAGAAACGCCAGCTCTCTTTTAAGCCCAGGATAGGCTGCCATCTACTATACCCTTTGTGCACTCAGTAACGCCCCTGATCTGTTGTTCTGAGTAATGTCTGAATATTTTTAAGACTAGAGCTCTGATTAGAGAGCCCCTGGTATCGACAGTTCCAGTGTTGGGCTAGCTAAAACCATTTCATTACTAATTAACTGACATGTAAAGGCTGTCTTAACAGACTGACATGTATTGTGATTTCATTATTAAATGTTACGGTTGAAAGTTTGACAATAGGAAATGCATATATCAAAACCCCATTGGGTTCATCTGATCATAGCAATCCCTTGGCTGTTATCATAGCTCTGGGTGCCTGAAGTTGGCTGAGAACACAGACCACATGGGAATGTGTAATTAGATTATAATTAATTGGTGTTTGCCTTTTATGGAGTAATTAAAGGCATGGTTTCTCCCGGCAGCCAGCAGGGGGCAGTATTGCCTTGTTTAAACTCAAGTGCGCATTTTGCCTGGATGGTTTGTTACTAATAGACATTGGTATCTGTTGAGGACAAGTCAACTCATGCAGGGCATGGCCACCTAAAGCTGGACATGATGCTTTCCCTGTCTGCTATTCACCTCTGGCAAAGTCAAGGTCAACTTGTTGCAGTTTTTGAGATTGCCTTGCAGTAAACAGAGGTATTGAACGTTTTATCCCTTCTAAGTTAAAATGTCAATAAATTATCCCTCATTACTTGGTTACTTAACTATGCAGCACTAATTAAAAAGGTGCCTGAAATGTAAAACATCTCAGGGCAAATGCAGATCTGGGGCCAAGATCCTGATCTCTGTTATACCGACATAAATTTGTAGTAACGTCATTGACTTAAGTGGCTACTCTGGATTTACTCCTATACCAGTGAAATCAAAATCTGGTCACTAGTGTGATGGATTTTCACCTGCCCTTCATGTCACCAACTATGGGTTATTGGAATCAATGGTAGTTCTGCCCCATGAGTTAGTTTTGCAAGCTGAGTACATCAGCTCCCGTTGACTTCAGGGGGAGCACTGAGAGTGCTCAGCAGTGCCCCCATGCAGGATCCAGCCCAGTTTGAATGTAAGGCTTTCCCTTGTCCTTCATTTGTTTCAGGGGCTGCTGTGTCTATTAGTGCTCAGCAGCATAATCATGTAATTAAGAGTGAATGATCCTCTGGAGTTACACTCTGGGAGAAAAAGCTAAACTTGGGTAAATGCTGCTGATCCTTTTGTAAGTGTTAACAATCAGTGATTTCTGTATGTGAGTATTATAATGTGTGTTGCAAATTCTTGCCACTTGCTGATGTGGTGTTTGTCCTTGCTGATCTCACCTGGTAGCCTTGCTGGTGAATGGGGAAAGCACAATGTAAAGGAGTTTTTCCTTTTGAAGAATTTGGTCTAAGCGAACATGTCCTTTCCCTAGTTCAAGGTTTTTATGTATATATTTTAAGGTGCCCTATCATTTTTAAGCTGCGTACTGTGTTGTTCAGAGGCTGATCAATATTATTCATTGACAAACCTTATTAACTTCTGCCTTAGGAATGAAGCAGTTGCGATGTAAGGTTCTTTGTTCAAGTACAGCATGCAGATAAGCTACTGTGACGCACACTCTGGCTGTATTCACTAGACCAATCACAGTGTAGCTGTTCAATTATGGTGTA